GAGAGAGAAAAAGAGCAAAGGTTAGCACTAGGTTAACGTTAAGAATGGTATTGGGAAGTTAAAATCCAGCGGGCAAACTGAAGCACACCATTTTGTACACAAGTTTGTTGTCATGTACTAATGCTGTTATTTCTATTCTTATGTAAGACAACAAAATAAAAGATGGGGTTACATTGCCTGTAGTTGGTTGCCTCTAGCCAGAAAGCCAAAATTATCCTCATGTATTTCCATTGAAATAAATAATGGAACAAAATAACCTTTTATGTTATGAACTGTTTTTTATAGTGGGGAAACAGATTGGGTTGGAAATGTAGTAGATTTCAAAGTTTCAATTGTTTTCTCTCTGGCTGTGCTGTGTGGTGTAAATGAAGAAAAGGTTAAGTTTACCCATGATAATTCCCTCTCACATTTACATTATCAATCAGCCTTTGTAGCTTTTTGTGCTTTTATCTATTGTGTTTTCATTGTAATCTTTACATATGACGTTCTCAATTCTACAAACTCTTATGCTCAAATTTATTCACGAATGGCTCTGACAGATGTGCTCTGGAAGCCTTAGGTGCTGTGGTTTAAGATGCTGCCAGCTGGTCGCCTTTTCCCCACCCCTCAGACTGCAGTCTGTACGGAAGAGTCAGCAATACCTGCACCTCAGTCACTGGAGTTTGCTCCCCTCGTCGTAACTCACATTTCTTTTTGGGTGGTTTGAGCTGATGTGTAGGCTGCAAATGGGGTCCTGGGTTCCGGAGGCAGAATGTACCCCCTCTTGTTGCCCTTTCTTACAGGCTGCTCATCCTTGGCAGAGAGGTGATTAAACGCCCAGGGTCAGCAACATCTTAAAGTGTCTCAGATACCCAAAGCTTGTTTATGAGACTCCCCTGTAGTTTAAAGTTGAACATGTTTTAAACTTCCTATTTTAAATTACCTATATTTTCAACTTGTTACTGTATCAAGTCAGTGTGGAGGATATTTCAGTACTTGGTTTTACCATGTCACCATCTCTACTTAAAACTCTCACCTCATGGTTTTGTCTACTTTTAAAAGTGAGTGCCTAAAACCTCATATTAAAAAACATAGGTCTTTCTTTCATGTACTATGTGTGCCATAGAAATTGTCCAGCAGCCTGTTTTAGTGTTGCACTCAGTGTGTGTGGAGCTGATTACGCTGCCTCCAATTAAGATTACATCACTTACTTTACTGCTAAACCAGTTTTGTGTTACTTGCATTCTTGCCAAAAGGAAACAGTTAACCTGAAGCAGTATATTAGTTGTTTTGTTTTTGTGTCTTGGCTGTCAAACTGAAAGTACACTATTTGTATAGCTAACATTTAAATTTGATTAGGTCCTTGATTTACTGTTACTCAACTAAAATTAATTTAAAAATTAGGACTGTACAGTAACAATAAAACGGATAAAGAGCTGGTGAGCTGCCAGCACTCAGAAGTAATGGCTGGAGGCCACTGTCAACAGATGAGAGCTTGTGGGGACTTTCCCCAGTGTTTGTGTTGGGTGTGATGCTTTTTGCTGTTTTAGTCGATTGTCTGCATGTAAACATGAAAGCAATAGTGACAAACTATAGATGGTTCAGTGGTTGCTGGATTGATGAAGAAGGGATGAAGTTTAAAGCATGGCTGACATCATGGAAACATGAGTCTGTTAAAATGCAGTTTGTCTGCAAATGTGCCGAGGAAGAAGGAATGCTGGATGTGTGTGCAGAATGGAAGATTTTTGTCTTGTAAAGCTGTGACTGGGGTTGTGAGGAAGCACCTGTAGCCAAAGGGGATTCAAGTGCAGGGCAGTGGCAAGAAGGGTTGGTGCTGCCTAGTAGAGGTAGGGGGAGAGGTAGGAGGGCTGTTTAAATCCCTTTAATAAGACCAGTGCTGGAATGTTGCATCTAGTTCTAATTTCTATGAAAAACATGTCCTGAAAACTTTGAAAGCATGATGAAGGTCCTGGAAGACACAGACTTAACCTCTGTTAATGGTATTACCTTTGGTAGGTGGGCTTGAGAGTAGGTTCAAGCTTGCTGTGATGTTTCTGACCACGTCTCCTAACCTCACTCATGTTGGGCCTCGGCAAGCTCTATTAGCTAGCTATCCCACCTGACTGCTGCAGAGGCCCTCCTACATACATAGCGTTGAGCGTCTTGGGCAAGGCTATGGTGCATCTCTCTGAATTTGTCATTTTTTCCCATTATAGAGGGTGTGGAAAGCATTTTTTCTTTTTTGTTGTATGTATGCATCATGGAAAGCTTTCTAGAATATGTTTTTTCAACTTTAGACTTTGGTGTGATTAAACTTAAGTATGGTTTTAATGGAATCACAAAGAATTGCAGCAGCTAATAATTCAGAGTTTTTTTGATTCTGCAATCATAAAATAGTCAGAGCAAGGATGGATGTTGCTTTCTTTGAAATTTTTTGACATATGCTGTTTAATTTATGTATTATTAATTTATGAATCTTTCTGTAATTTGGAGTGAAAAGGTTAACAAAGCATTCTTAGATTGCTGTTTACCTTTTTATTCTGAAAGACTGGATAATTTGAAAGCCTGGGTGTACAAAGCAGCATACCAACAGGCTAAATAGGAAGAGGGTA